CACCCCTGCCCCAACTCACTCTCTCTCCCTCTCTCACACCCACACGCGTGCACGCGCGCACACACACACACACACACACACACACACTCTCTCACTTTCTCTTTTCACAGAAAAGTAAGCTAGAGATTTAGTCAAAATGTTAGTTAAAAGTAAGGATCAGAACTGCTATCCCTGGATTCCTTGCACATTGCCCTAAGTTTCATTGCCTTAACATTTATAAACCATTTAAATGACCTCTTTAGGGCAAAATTAACCATTCTAGCTCTGCTATGAAAATCATAACTGAACCATGATATACAAAGAATTTGGACAGTGCCAATGTGATTGAAAGTCAAGTCACCAAACTGGGAAACAATTCTCTACGTCTCTTAGAATTAGAATACCTCTTTCTATTCTTATTGTAGGCATTCACGTCTAGTGGAGACTGCAGTGTGTCTATCACAGACTAATGCTAATGTTTCTCTTTGAACATATATATGTAAAATATGGAGAATATATATATGTAAAATAAAAAGAGGTAGAAAAGGATAGGAGGAGGAAGCAGGCATTAAGAAAGGTTTATCGGCCAACACACAGTCCTAAGGCCAAATGAACTCTTGAAGCCTACTGATTTTGGAAAAACCTTCCTGTGGTGGGTAACTTGAATTATTATTGATATAAAATAAAATTAAGGCATACAGAGAAAAAGGCACTACCAAAAATGAACAATTAAATTGTTTTTCATTAACACTTAATCAATCTTAAAATTCAAATAAATATGAGCATTACATTTGTAAAAAGGCCAAACTTAATATAACAATAAGGGCTCAAGAAACTGTCCTGACCCTAGCATATGTAATACTGTTGACAGAATACAACTTCTATCAAATGTTTTGGACATTTAATAATTTAGACTTTAAAAACTGTTTTCCCTTTAAAAGAAAAAGCAGGAAAAAACTATGTTTTGGGATATATGCCCCTCACCGCTAGAATTGAGTAGGGGATGGACTTTTTTATATAAGAGGGAGTCCTGAGACAGAGGCCACCTGACCTATGTGGTCCCTCCAATTTGGGGATACTTTTTCCCTGTTAATGGCATTTTAGTTTACAACAGCCAATGATTGCCCAAAATTGCTTTCCTCTCATTTCATAAAAAACAGTGATGTTTAAAAACATCACTGCTGAACTTTCAGAGTTAGGGTATACCATAAAATAAGTGTATTTGTTTGCCTAATTTCCTCCTAGACCGTGACCTACTTAAAAAAGAAAGTTAATCTAGTACCTGACATAATAAGCCACAATTATTGAATAAGCAAGTAAAAAAGATTCACTCTCTTTAAAAGAAATTGATAGATTTCTATACTCAACTGACACCAGGTATTCTGTATCAAGTTACTGGTCTCTAGACCTCAAAACCACTGGCACAGAGCTCTGCTGTGGTTCAAAGAGTCTGCATCTGACAAGTATCTTGGCTTTTGCACCCAAGCTTGGTCGTCCCTATAAACTAACCAGATTTTATTTTTCTTAGTGACTTCACATATCTTACAACACCATCTCAGAAGTACTACAGACCAGACCTGATATATATAAGAGCTCTAGTAGCAGAAAACTCTTGTTAAAAAAAAAAAAAAAAAAAAATCCACCTTTTTACTGTACTTTCTATTGGGAATAAGATAAAGGCTCTCTCAACTGAAAGCCAATTCAACTTACTTGGAAATAAGTTTTAACTTTTCTTTTACATTTCAGACTGTGCATTAACACTTCAAGCTCTTATATAAATTATGTAAGGTTGACTGCCTTTGAGAACTTTCTAAGGCAATCATCTTTAACTATTTTCAAGTTAGAAACATGTTTTGTAAGAGAAAAATTGAAAAATTTTCAAGATAGTCATACTGAAAACTTCAAAGTCTGTATACTTTTAAGCACATTTTAAAGAATTACCATCAAAATTTCCATTAGTCATTATGTTATTTTTCAACCCTTTTATTCAATACAGTTTGTTTGCAATGTAAAAGATCTTATATTTGGTCCAAGCCTAACTCATGCCATTTTGAATCTCTCAAGGCCTAAGGAGAAAGATATTTCCTGAAAAGCACATATAAGACTGCTAGTGAATCTTCTCCAGCACCAAAAAGTCTGCCACTATCAAAGCAGAATGCGTTTTAAAGGCACAAAGTCAGCAGTCTGGCCATTTTCCAGCCTCAGCAAAGAAACATTACAGTATAGAAGAATCAGTTGTGCATTTAAAAAACAAAATATATTTAGAGTAATATTTAAAAGTTCAAATTTCATTTGTTGATCCATACCATTATTAGAAAGAAAAAAACTGGAGTGTCATATTTAACTGCCCCTAATGGGTTTCCTTTCAAAATTTTTTCTAAAATTTACTTTTAGTCTTTTCATCCCATCTCAAGCTTTTTGTTCCAGTAGTTTTTATATATATTAACTTTTATTGCATTTTTGGTACCTTTATAACTTGTTTGAAATAAATTCACATCACATTTTATATAATAATTCTGTAAACTATTAGTCTATTTTTAAGTCTTTACATAAAGAACAATACTTTTCCATATTTTTCTTATAAAACAAAGGTCTTCTGCAGCAGTGTTAAAGTAGTAGTTTCTTTTCAGGTGATTTTATCTTCCATAGCATTTAGAGAAGAAAAAAAGCAAACGATTTTGCCTTGGGTTTCACAGCCCCCCAAGATTTCTCTCTAAAGAGCATTTCTCTCATATTCTGCACTGCTAGTTACCCTGGCAAACCAAAAATGAGCTACAAGGAAATCAAAACCACACAAGATGAAGGAATGAAGGAAAAGCCCACTGGTCCAGATACCATGATCTTGCTCAAGCAGAAGAGATGCCTTCACTCATAAAAGCTAAAGAAATTATAATAGATCCACATCCTTGGGGACTACGTTTATAGCACAAGATTTGGCAGCTGATTTTCAAAGGGGAAGAGGCCACTAATTCATATTCTTCCTTGCAAGCTGCTTCCTTTAATTATAAACGTATGGGAGAAGCCTTGACAACTGTATTTGTGCTTTGACTTTTTCTCAGACTAGCTAGAAGAATTTCAAATATTCCTAGAGAAAATGCCAGATAGGACCTTGATCCAGGAAACCAAGATCCACCCAACTTCAGAAACAAAGTATTTTAAAACAGCCCCTAGAAGAGCATATCTTTTAGCAGAAAATAAAATACTAGAGCCCCTTATGAGTCCCACGAAAGGCTTCACATTTAGGGCCTCCAGAAAGACTACTATTTCCTAACCTTTAAAAATAAAGTACTTAGCACTTGCTTTAATATGCTGAAACAAACTGCAAGTAGCTAAATTACTGCTATTACTCATATTTTTCAGTAGCACAAGTCCATTAGAGATAGTGGGAGTTTACCAGATGCTTCTTTCCACTGGATGTCCTTGCTCTTGGTGGATATGTTATACTAGTAATACCTGGCAGTTTTAAACATTCTTATAAAGTAGTTAATACTTTGTTTTGATATGCTTGTCTTTTCCCACAATTACAAACTGACTTTTGAGGAAAGAATATATACAGATGGCTGGGTTTAATAGGTTCCATGTTTAAATTCATTTTGTTTCTACAATGGAAGTTACTGATCTGGGTGTAATACACAGCTGGTAAAGGAAAGGACTGCTATTTGATGTTTGTTGAGATTGTTCACCCTTGACGTGAAGTAGTGGTATCGGCTCTTGTAAAACCCTTTTTCTGCATTGCATCACTTTCTCTCTGAAGTATACTTTTTGCAAGGGACCTACTCTGTAAATAGCTATTTTCAGTTTATAACTGGGGCTGGTCTTTACATCAGGTTCTCAACTTCAGCACTTTTTGACATTTTGGTCAGGATAATTCTTTGTTAGCAGATAGGGATGCTGTATTTGTATAGTGTAGTTTTTTTGGCAGCATCCCTGGCCTCAGACTACCCAGTGCCACTATGATCCTTCTAGTTGTGATTGTGACATGAAAAACTCTCCAGGCATTGCCGAATGCAAGGCAAAATTATTCCCACCCGACATTTGAGAACCACTGTTTTACATAGTAGCTTATTTTGTGAGATGCTTTAGTATTCTGTGATCCCAAGAACAAGGATTTTTATCTCATGAGACTAGCTTTAACATGTGGATGCCCCAAGTTAAATTCTTAGTTCCCAAAGAATGTTATCTATGAGGAATCTGGAGCTAGAAATACATGGAAGATACATGATTTGGTTATTTCTCTTTTCCCTTAATCTTGGGCCTTTTTCCCTCCACTAAAGAGCATAGTTTAAAATACACTAACATTTAGTTCTTCTTTTCATTATTTCTATTAACTGTTAAATGTGGATTCTTCTGCCCACACACTGAATCACACCAATCTCTTTTTGCCTTTTAATTTGGATTTGCTCACTGACTTCTCATATCTGCTTTACTCTAAAATAGTACCTTTCTCTCTTTTTTTTTTTTTTTTTTTTTTTTAAGCTGAAAGCTATCCCTCAAGGTATACAGATTCCAGTAACATGGATCTATTATAGTGTATTTGCTTATTATACTGGTTAGGATTAACAAATAAACATACCTCTTAGAGATTCATATTTTCTATCAAGACTCCTACTGAGCAAAAAGCCTGGTAGACAGAGGTTAGGATCTAAAGAATACAGATATAAGAAGGAACCTATATTCTTTAAGTTGAGTACCTACCCTAAACTCAAGTTTAGGGCTCAACCCCATAAATGAGGATCTATTTTAAATACTAATCACTAAAAACTACAAATCATACATCATTTTCTTCTCCTTGTTTTCTATGTCTCCCCATCACCACTAATCTGTCAGTGACATGGGGAAAGACTCTATAATCCTTAGGTATTCTAAATGATTTGTTTGTACTAAAAAGAGCAACTATGTACTAAAGTGCTTTATCTCTCTGAACCACATCAGTACATTATAAAAAAATTTAAAAAAAAAAAAGGAGTTTCAAGTTCTTGTAAGGGAAAAAAAAAGATTAAATATAAAAAATTTAGGTTACTATTATTATTAAACAATTTAAACCAAGAATCAAGAGAAATACTTTCCCTCTTGTCTTTTTTCTCCCCATCTCTCTTTTTTATAAAAAAGAAAAGTGCAGTCAGAGAGAAGGTGAATGAATTGATGGGAGCTGGGTAGAGGCACAGGAGAGGTTACTGGCTGCTAGTGATAATGCACGAACATGTGCCTTAACAGTTCATCAGCTGAAGGTCTCAGTTTGGCCTCTATAAAGATCCGCTTGAGGAAATCTCGAGTATAGTCTGAGACATGAGGTGGCAGCTTTGGGTTTGTTGGCTGAGTGGCAATTTTAAAGATGGCAGCCATAGCTTCAAATTCTGCCCAAGGAGGCTTTTCAGTTAGCATTTCCACCACAGTACAGCCCACACTCCTAGAGGGGGAAAAATTACACAAATAGTATCATCATGAAGGAAAGTCACTTAACTACAACATGAGAAACACAACTAACATCCATTTACATTTAAATACAACTTCATTTCAAGTTTAAAGTTTCATTAAAAGGTTGTAATTATATAAAACTATAAACATAAAATCAATGGGAGACTAACTCAAATGGCTAGGCAAAGAACATTATTCATTTTATAATTTTTGCCTTATATAATTTTCTAAATTGACATTAAACATAATTTTTTGTGTTTATCTTACAAAGAACACAAACACTAGAAATTCTTTTAGCCATTAGGTGCCTAAAATGAATATCTATTAAACACAATTCTGAGTGGGAAGTAGGAAACAGCCATTTTATGTTTAACTTAAAGTTATTAATTAAAGATTAACTGAATTACATGATACTAACAAAAAAGATTAGTAACCCTTAAAGTTCCTCAGGGATATAAAACAAAGATGGTTTTCTAATGCTGAAATCTGCTTTAGATGAAACCCTTCCCGAAGAAAGGAAGACGGGCTCAAGAACTCCATTTACTTAGCTAATTATTAAGCCATAAGGAGAAAAAATTAAAACAAAAGTATTCCTGGCGTCCTATTTCAGAAGCACCAAAGATCATTTAAATCTGGCTCAGTAACTTCCATTTTGGGTGGAATTATGTAAGAAGGCAGGTGTTTTTGTTTTTTGTTTTTTTTAATTAACATATAATGTGTTATTTGTTTCAGGGGTACAGGTCTGTGATTGATCCGTCTTACCCAATTCACAGCACTCACCATAGTACATAGGCAAACCTAACATCAAAACCTACCAGATGTCTGCTTTTCTGCCATAGCCTTCTCCACTAATTACTTCGGGGCTCATCCAGTATGGTGTGCCTGTGACAGACTTCATCCCTGTGCCTGAAAGACAGATGGTTTGAAGCCGTTTGCTGGCCCCAAAATCTCCTAGTTTGACGTTGCCTGTTGAATCTCGCAGAATATTTGCACCTAAAAATATGAAAACATCCTCAATTCATTACTTTTTTTGGCTGTTTGCAATTAAAAAAAATGGCAAATAATTACTTAGTAGACTCATCAGTCTGTCTCCAAAATTAGGCTGCTTTTTGTCTTCCCAACAGTACCTGGTATAATGCCAGTCACACAACCAGGGCTCATTAAGAATTTACTGCACAGTGGCACCTGGGTGGCTCAGTGGGTTAAGCCTCTGCCTTCGGCCCAGGTCATGATCTCAGGGTTCTGGGATCGAGCCCCGTGTCGGGCTCTCTGCTCAGCTGGGAGCCTGCTTCCCCCTCTCTCTGCCTGCCTCTCTGCCTACCTGTGATCTCTCTCTCTCTTTAAAAAAAAAAAAAAAAAGGGGCGCCTGGGTGGCTCAGTGGGTTAAAGCCTCTGCCTTCGGCTCGGGTCATGGTCCCAGGGTCCTGGGATCGAGCCCCGCGTCGGGCTCTCTGCTCCGCGGGGAGCCTGCTTCCTCCCCTCTCTCTCTGCCTGCCTCTCTGCCTGCTTGTGATCTCTCTCTCTCTGTCAAAAAAAAAAAAAAAAAAAAAAGAATTTACTGCACAAACACTAAATTTTTAGAGTCAGCTGTGTATGCTTTAGCACCTAAGAAGGCTCATCAGTGATAAGGGCTGGGGCCAGTAGGAGGTAAGGATGACAAAGAAGAAAAAGGAGAAAAGGGCTAAGAATGTGAAGCTCAGAGGAGGATACAGAAAGCAACAAAGGCTCTCAGCCCCAGTTTCTCTGTGACAAAGCCCATTCTGCAGCTCATTTCCCTGAGAAGCTAGCTTCTCCTCAGGAACTTCCTCTGGGACCTTCATAATCAACAACTTCTAGCACCTTCCCCTCTACTGTAATTTTTTTATATCTTTTTTTAAATAAACATATAATGTATTATTAGCCCCACGGGCCCTCTACTGTAATTTAATGTTAGTTATCTTACATTCCAGTTTTTCTTAGTATTGGATTTTGTTTTATACTAATTTTGTTGCTCAATGTCTCTATATTTAATCTCTCTTCTAAGTAAGCTTTGAGCTTTCTGTTTTAAAATTTTGTTTAGTTTTACAATAAACTTTTAAATTTTATTTACTATAAATGGACCTTGATCACAGGGTGTGAGGTAGAGTTTGCTGAACTCCCCACGGTGAGTTACCCTTCCCCTCTTCCCATACAGCACTCTTTGGAAGAAGTTCACTACGCACAGCCCACAATCAAGGTGTGAGGATTTATGCTCCAGGCTGAGTAGCTGCATAAATTATTTGTAATTATTCTGTATGGTATATTTGTCTCCTTTCTTGCATTTATTCATTCAACCTTTCATTTATATCAGTATGACCACATGGATATTTATTTTATACTCTGAGTCATAATCAAATATGACTTTATTTTTTGGCTCAAGTTGTTCCAGCTTTGGCCATTGGGAGCTCTTTGAATTGGCTTCTGTGTCCCTGAATCACTGCTTTCTTATTTGGTTTGGGTTTTTTGTTGTTTTTAAGCATTTTCTTACTTTCTGGCGCTTAAAGATGCTCTGGCTTCAACCTGTATATTTCCTCCACCAGTCCTAGAATCTATCATTCCTCCAAGAAGCCCTGGTTCCCTTTAGTGGTGAACGGTATCAGAAATCAAGATCTGGATGCTGGATTCATTTACTTTTTATTCTTGTTTCTCCCTTTTATCATTTTTTGAACTCAGTCTTCTAGGATTATAAAGTTGGTTTCCATCTTACATAAATTATTTTTATTCTTAAGTCTTACATAAGCTTAACCATATATTTTTTTTTAAACTTATTTGTCCCTTTATCCTTTTTTTTTTTAATGGCCTCTAAAAAGCAGAGTGAACAGTAGAGAAAAATCTGCATTACAAAACAGAGAGAATACAGACTGTTCATCCCCACCATGGATTTCTGTACTTGTTTTTCTGTTCTCCCAGCAAATTCCCCAGCCTAGTTAACAGGCTAGTTAACATGGCTCCTCAAAGCCTCTCTCCGAGAGAGAATACTGGATCCATTCTCTGCATGCCATAAGCCTAAGCATGCCATGGTACCAGACCCTCAAAAAAAGTACTGCCTATTTAATATCTCCTATCATCCAAAACTTACAGAAAAGATTCTGTCAAAAAAAGCCACTGCCTATAAAATATTTAGCCAAAGGAAGAACAACAAACAAACCAGTTTTTTCAGTCTGTGAGCTGGGAAGGAGCAGTCCTGAGCCTACTCATATGAAGGGCTGAAGAGAAAATGTGTAGCCAAGCTCCCAAAATAACTTTCTAAATTTTTAAAGCTCATTTTAACTACATTAAAAGTAAGCTTTTAAGGAGACTTTTCAAACATACAAAGCAGACAAGATAGTATATGTACCCATAATGCAGCCCCAACAACCATCAGGACAATCTTCCCCCACCACACATACTGCTAGCCACTCCCTCCTCCCTCTCATTATCAGAAGCAAATTCAACACATTATGATCAACAAATAGTTTACTGTAGGTCTTTAAAATATAAACTTATCACACCTAAAAGAATGGACAATAACTTCTTAATATTATTAAGCATATACTATTTTTAACATTTAAAAAAAAATCAGAATCCAAATAAAGTCCATACACTGAGACTCACTGAATTACCTTTCAAGTCTTTCCTAATCTAACGTTCCCTCTAATGTCTTTTTTTCTTTATAATTTATGATGAATCTAAGTTGTTTCCTACAGCTTTCTTATGGTCTAGATCTTGCTGACTCCATCCTAAGGAGTCATTTAACATGTTCCTCTGTCCTATATATGTTCTAAAACTCAGTAGCTGAATCCACACGCTTGATCAGATTCAGGTCCAATTTCTTTGGCAAAAATGTTTACGTAGATGATGTTATTATTCTACAAATAAGAAGTACATAATGCTAGACTATCTCAGTTTTAGTGATGTCAACAATTGTTCATATTTAGTACTTGTATCTAGTAATTCCTTAGTGGTTGCAAAATGGCACTACTCTATTATTCCTTTTTCATTTGTTAACCAATATACTTCTATAAAGGTAAGTCTCCTTTCATCTAGGATTTAGTCCTCCGTAGTACAGTCTGTAACACAAAAGCAGAGTAAAGGAACCTTATTATGAAATAACAAATTGGTTCCCTAGCAACAATGATCAATAGTTTTTATCTTAAGTTTCATTATGAATTCATGGGTTTATTTATTTTAAGGATTTTATGTATTTATTTATTTGACAGAGAGACACCGCAAGAGAGGAAACACACGCAGGGGGAGTGGGAGAGGGAGAAGCAAGCTTCCTGCCCAGCAGGGAGCCTGATGGAGCACTTGATTCCAAGACCCTGGGATCATGACCAACGCACACCAAACTCATGGGTTTAAACTTTAAAAGCAACCAACTATCTTTCCTTTTCCCTCACCATATAAAAATTGTGCAATGGGGGCACCTGGGTGGCTCAGTTGTTAAGCATCTGCCTTCAGCCCAGGTCATGATCCCAGTGTCCTGGGATCGAGCCCCATATCAGGCTCCCTGCTTGGCAGGGAGTCTGCTTCTCCCTCTCCCTCTGCATATATACCCTCTCTGTCTCTCTCTCTCTGATAAATAAATAAAATCTTAAAAAAAAAAAAAAAATTGTGCAATGAGGGGTACCTGGGTGGCTCAATGGGTTAAAGCCTTTTCAGCTCAGGTTACGATCCCAGGGTCCTCGGATGGAGCCCCGCCATCAGGCTCACTGCTCAGCAGAGAGCCTGTTTCCCCTTCTCTCTCTCTGCCTGCCTCTCTGCCTACTTGTGATTTCTGTCAAATAAATTTTTTTTAAAAATCTAAAAAAAAAAATTGTGCAATGAGAAAAATAAATCAAAAGTAAAAATAAATAAAAATTGCACATTATGGGGCACCTGGGTGGCTCAGTGGGTTAAAGCCTCTGCCTTCGGCTCAGGTAATGACCCCAGGGTTCTGGGATGGAGCTCTGCATCACATCGGGTTCTCTGCTCAGCAGGGAGCCTGCTTCCTCCTCTCTCTGCCTGCCTCTCTGCCTACTTGTGATCTGTCTGTCAAATAAATTAAAGAAAAAAATTACTTAAAAAAAGTTGCACATTATAAAAATTTGGGAAATACAGAAAAAGTAAAAAGCACACAAATGAAAACAACCATAACTCATCCTGCTATTTGGAAATAATCACTTAATTATATGGAAATTCTTCTCCTAGGTCATACTTTAATTTTGCAAGCTTGAGATCATATTGCATATCCAGTTTTATATCTTGTTTTTCTCTTATAAATCTGCTTGCTTCCAGCCTCATTTACCAGAATAGTTTATCACTCTTTCTGGCAAGGTTAGATGAGGATCCCCTGAGGGGTTGCTGTCCTCAGTTCCTGTACCTTTTCTCATTATGAAAGCAAGAGAAACTGGCTTGAATAGAGCTTATTCCTAATAGAATAATTCACAAACAATTTCCCTTTGTGGTTCTTTAAGCTATCACTTGACTAGTAAGGTCTAAGCTGGGCAGAACTTGAGGTGAAAGGTTTCTATTTCTTTTAGAACACAAGCCATGTCCTCATTCTCTCAGACTCACTAGCAAGCTCCATCCCATACAAGCAATTTGGCTCAGGCATTCTGCAGCAGATTTTACTTTGTCACCAGAAACTGGGTAGAAATATCTCTTTGGCCTGAATATGACCATATTTATGATGTGACACTACTAATAGCCTACTGCTGACTGGAAACCTTACTGTAACATAACTTTAACATGTATTTTGTATATTGTATGTATTATCTATTATATTCTTATAATAAAATAAGTTAGAGAAAAGTAAATGTTAAAGTCATAAGGAAAATACATTTATGGTACTGCAGTTTATATATGAAAAAAAAATCCAAAATTGGAGGACCCACATAGTTCAAACCTGTGTTGTTCAAGGGTCAACTGCATGTGTGTGCGTATTTATTCTTACTGACTGATTAAATAAAGTGATTTTTTTTTTTAAGATTTTATTTATTTATCTGACAGACAGAGATCACAAGTAGGCAGAGAAGCAGGCAGAGAGAGAGGAGGAAGCAGGCTCCCTGCTGAGTAGAGAGCCCGATTTGGGGCTTGATCCCAAGACCCTGGGATCATGACTTGAGCCGAAGGCAGAGGCTTTAACCCACTGAGCCACCCAGGTGCCCCATAAAATGATCTTTAAATGTGAGTCACAACCCAGTATTTACAGAATCAGACCTCTGGGTATGCTCTGCAGAACAAAGTTTTAAGCACTCTCAAATTTGAAACACCTCCGCCAATTGCTTTTTTCTCACATCATGCACTTCCTTACATACCTGCTCCCTGAAAACAGTTGAGTTTTTTAGAGTCTTAAAAAATGAGTTTAACTGAGCTCGAGTTCATCAAAGCTCAAGTCTTGGCCTCTCTTCTTCCCTCTTCTTATTCTCTCCCTAGGTAATGACGTCCATTCCCATGGCTTTAAAAATGATCTCAACATAAAGTATGTCATCAGCATAGCTAACTTTTTTTTTTAAAGATTTTATTTATTTATTTGACAGACAGAGATCACAGGTAGGCAGAGAGGCAGGCAGAGAGAGGAAGGGAAGCAGGCTCCCTGCTGAGCAGAGAGCCCGATGTGGGGCTCGATCCCAGGACCCTGGGATCATGACCTGAGCTGAAGGCAGAGGCTTTAACCCACTGAGCCACCCAGGAGCCCCAGCATAGCTAACTTTTGAGGATTTTCTAAATACAATGTTTTAAGCATATTATATACATTAAATCATTTAATCCATACAAAATCCCTGAGTTAGACACTATTATTATCCTCCTTAAAAACAAGGAACTGAGGCATAGAGAGATTATGTGACTCGTCCAAGGTTATATACAATGATGGATAAAGTCCAAATCTGCATCAGGCCAGCTGATATAAGAGCCCCTACTCTTAACCACTATATTCTAATGCCTATGTCCTATGTATGAAAACATATTCTCATTTTCATGATCATCTGAACTTTACTGATGCTGTGGACCCCCCATAGATGATCTACTCACTTGTGGAGATGTGAACATCAGGACAAGTCGGAATATTGACCGTGTCAGTGAGAAAGCAGAATTGTTTCCTAAGATGTTTTAAAGGCAGACGTAGTAATTTAAATGCTAAATTTCTCACTCATATCACTTGTTTCATTCAGAGTCACAAAAAAAAACTGTGTAAGTAAAATAAAAAATATCTCATTACTTACCTTTGATATCTCTATGAACAATCATATTACTGTGCAAATAATGTACGCCCTCCAGAATCTGACGGGTATATTTCCTAGTCACATTCTCAGTAAGAGCTCCATATGCTTTTAATTGGTCCTTAATTGAACCCTAAGATAAAAGAAAACAAAAGAAAACTATAGTATGGTTTGAAATAAAAACTACTATTAAATCTTTATTTTTTAAAGGATCTGCAGTTGTGAGTGGGAGGCTTTAGCTGGAGAATACAGGAATTCTCAGTAAGGACATTATATGCCACCTAATTCAACATAAACTCTACTATATTCCCTGACTAGAACTGTGGAAGAATACGGTCATAGTTGAAAGAAGCCTTTTAAACTATTTTTTTGATTGATAACCTTGTTTTCATGATTATGTTGGTTCTATCTCTTGTTCCTTGCAATCATGTTTTTTAAAATCTTGCTTTTTTTGCCCTGAATGTATTTTTGTTTTTCCTGCTTGCTCTTCTCCATATTCCCTACTTGAATCTTATTTATTTTGTTTGATATCTGCTACATTACTTCTTAGGAGAAAGAATGGATATGATTAAATAGTCAACACACATATGAGATTTTTAAAGTTTTTCTTTTATACTCAACATTCTAGTTTAAAACATGTGAAAATGTATTAAAGAAGAATTTCAAATTTTCTTACATGTTTTTTAAGGCAGGATGAGGTACCATCTCTGAGAATGCTGAATCACTCTGAGGTGAGACACTGGCACTTGAATTTTGAAAAACCTTCCCTACTCTAGATTCCAACGTGAAAATCTGATGACTAATCACCATTTTAAAAGATGGGAATAAAATGCTTCCTGAAGGACAAAATCTTTTCTTTTTAACAGAGAATATATCCAAATGTTTCTGCCTTTCCTTGAGTTCTAGCCCGTGGTACTGTATTACATGAAAGTAGATCCCTAGACTTTATAGGTTTAACCATTTGCTGTTTCCACTATTCATGAGCAATCCCTGAAGGGACAGGACAGCAAGATGCAATTCTGTTGACTCACACCTGCAAACACATGTGTGGAAAGCCTTAGGCAGCCAAGCACCTGTAAGTCAATGTGGCTTGTTTGTTCAGTCTATTTACTGTGTCTCTACTTGTAGTAATACACAAAATAACACACCTAGAACTGAGCTGTCCAGATAATAAGCCCCTAAATACTTGTAGGCTGCAAAATGAGTGACAGACTTAAGGCTTTTCTGGGCCTTGAGCAGTTGGGCCAGTCGCTTCTGGCTGCTAACAGCTCCACTGGTGCTATTTACTCCCATGTACCAAAAAAACAGTTCTCTTCTTCAGTGTGACACGCAGAATGTGTTGCAAGTACTGTGCCAGCAAAAAACTCTGTGTCAGAGAAATCAACTGATAGTCCAGGGACAGAAAATAAAGTTATGGTTCTGTTCTGAAAGTAGTTCTAGATAAACTAAGGAAGAGAATGCTACATTTGGGAAAACTGAAAAACAGAACAACAATCTGTGCAAAGCATGAAATTTAGGGCACAAAGAGATCCATCATACTAAATTTAATGAGAGAAAATATGTAGCATCATTCACAAACTTGGAAATTCAGTAAAGTCTAAGATCATGTACGTCTGGCCCATATATGAGATTTGGCATATGTATAATTCATTTTAAGATTGTTGATGAACTATTATTATTTCAGTAAAATTATTTCAGTGACAACCTATACTTTGAAGAGATAGTTGCTCTTATAAAACCAAGCAGAGCTAATGAGAAACATGATCTAATACCTCTTCCTGAATAGTCCTGGCTTAGTTTTAAGATTGATAAATCTATAACATTACCCATCTCCATTTGTGATGTAAATCAGTTCTAGCCAATTAACCATTTAATCTTATCTTCAACAATCTGGGTCCCTATTCACACCTATTCAGAATTATCCTTTTGTTTCTAATTTAAATATATATTGGTCAAAAGTCTTCAAAATTTCTATGGCATTTAATACAGCCCACCCCTCTGTTTTCCAAAGGAATTAAAAAAAACTAATTTACTTTGTGAACAGGATCTTTGAAATAAACAATTAATTATTCATGATGATAAGAAAGTTAACTGCTGATCTTGTGAAACAGGATGATTAAGACCTCGACTACCAGATACTGATCCACAGTTTTTACTGACCCATAAGCTTAAACTGCAACCTGATACATGAAACATATAATTCTTTTTTTTTTTAAGATTTTATTTATTTATTTGACAGAGAGAGAGAGGTCACAAGTAGGCAGAGAGGCAGAGAGGGGAGAAGTAGGCTCCCAGCTGAGCACAGAACCCAAGGTGGGGCTTCATCCCAGGACCCTGAGATCATGACCTGAGCCGAAAGCAGGGGCGTAAACCACTGAGCCACCCAGGTGCCCGGAAACATATAATTCTAATAAACAATCCACTTAAAGACCCATAAATCAAATCTTTTCCTTATATATACAACCGATTAAATTATATGAATACATGTATTTTTAAATGGGTAAGTATAACACCATCTTGAAAATCAATTATTAAAATGTACCCTACAAATACTAAAAATAACATAGAAGGAATGACAGTTGACAAGTCACATTTTGCAACTCCTACTGAAACTACTGACTTAGGCAATGATTACCAATCTGTATTAAAAAAACCTTAGATAAATGGTTGAAATGGAACTGGATACTCTTTTTTTAGAAGATTTATTCATTTGAGCGACAGAGGGAGACAGATGGAGGTGAGAGAGAGAAAGAGAGAGAAAACATGAGCACACGAGTGGGGGAGGGGCAGAGGGAGAGAATCTTCAAGCAGACTGCCCACTGAGAGTGGAGCTGGTTGTGGGGCACAAGGCTCAATCTCACAACCCCATGAGACCATGACCTGAACTGAAATCATGAGTCGGACACTTAACTGAGCCACCAAGGAACCCCAGGAACTAGATATTCTTATGTGCCATTACATGCCATTATGTGCCATTATGTACCATAGCTCAGATTACTTTCTGGTCTTCAGAAAAAAACAAAACTTTACACTGGAGAAATCCGGATGGTAAAAGGATAAAGGAACAAATTAAAACAACACCATGAGGATGCAATCAGAGAAATCTATGAGATGAGACTGTCAATAGAATTAGCCTAGTCTCTGTCAAATATATGTCATGTAAAAATGTTCTAGATTAAAAAAGAAGTAAGGGACATAACAGTTAAAGGTAATGTGTGATCCTGGACTGGATCCTGGTTTCATTAAACTAGCTACTATGGTTATTTTAAGAGCATTTAGAGAAATCTGAGGATGTACTGCTGTGGTATATATAACCTATTTTAGTACACCTCAGCATTTTTTTAAACAAGTTAAAAAATATATAAAAATAAAAATGAGTTTAAAAATACAAAGATAAATGAAGATATTGAACAAAATTATATTACCCAGCTGTAATTCAAAACTTCCAAAATGTCCTTACAGTTTTACATTTTATAGTCAAAGTTCTTGTTTTTCTTTCCTCATCTAAGACTTTAAAAAGAAGATGTCTATTTTCAAATGATGTACTAACTTACCCCTGGCATATACTCCATAAATATGGAAAGTGTTTTTTCCTGGGGATCCCTCAAACAGCCATAATACTGAACAATCCGCTCATGCAGCAAATTTTTCAACAACTGAATTTCACACTCAAGTGCATTTACTTCCTGAAAGACAGAACTCACTGTTAAGTCTTTAAAGCACTGCTAGTAAAAGCAAAACATTTGAACTTCATGGACCATCAAGGTGATCTCATTCTGAAATTTTTACTTCCCAAGGAATAAACATTTTAAAGTCTCTAAACAGTAACTTTTGTAACAGTCCTTGATGGTATATTAAAGCAAAAATAAATCAGATTAGGAATATGAGCACTTAACGAGAAAAACAATTCACAGTACAAAGTAGATAAATATATCTAATTACAGACTGATTTATTTTGCAAATAATTTGTATGAAGAAAAATCAAAAATTCTAATTTATATTTATTTAGTAAAAATGTTCTTACAAATGTGACAAAGCAGCCTGTGCAGTGATTCTTACCTTGCTGGTCTCAGGGCTATCAGGGTCAAACTGAACTTGTTTAACTGCCAATTCTCTCCCTGTATCGACATCATAACAGAGGTAGACCCTGCCAAATGCTCCCTGGCCAAGCAGTTTGCCCAATCTCCAGTTGGTTGGAGCACGAGGCGCTAAAAAAGAATATCATCTTAAAATGAAACAGCCAGACAACACACAAATGGTTAAGGACTAAATGAATAACTGCATGAGTGATATCCTTAATTGAATAAGCTTAGATATAATAAGGGAAAATCATGATCATCCTAATTCACAATGATCATCACTTTGAAAATTTTTTGCCTTAGTCAATTTTCTGAGAGTTTGAAGTGCAAACAAGTTCATATATCCCCATGTCTTATTTTTTCCAATGAGATTATATTCCTCCCACAATTAAAAATGTAATAGCATCTTTCACTCAATCCAGAATACCACTGATTGTCAGATGCACTATTTCTAATCTTTACTGCAGCAATATTTGTAGTTATTTTTCCATCTGCTTACAATGTAGAAAGCTGGAAAGAGTATCACTCTCATTCTAACAAGAGAAAATCTTGAAAGCAGCCAGAGGGGAGAATAAAGAAAAATACATACACACATAAATATACGTACATAAATTATAAATAAATACAGAAGAATAAAGATAAGAATTACAGCAGACCTTTCCTCAAAAAGCATACATGCCAGAAGAAAATGGAGAAATAGCTTTAAAGTGCTAACAGGAAAAAAAAAAAAACTGCCCAGCATTCTATACCCAGAAAAAAAAAAATCTTTCAGAAATAAAGGAGAAAAAGACCTTTTTCAAATAAAAGCTGAAAGAATTCATTACCAGCAGAGTTAAATCACAAGAAAGGTTAAAGGCAATTCTTTTAAGAATTTGATACCTGGTAGAATCCTGGATCTACATAATCTATTATCTATAAACTCTTGGGTCTACAGAAATAAAGTGATGTTCTTTACATCACATCTTTACATCACATCTTTACAGAAATAATGTTCTTCTCTTATTTTTAATTACTTCAAAAAATAGCTGTCTAAAGCAAGGTGACAAATGTATAAGTCAAATATGACAAGATTAACAAAAGGGATGAATGTGAAGTATGCAAATACTGCTGCAATAAATACCTTTGAGCACAAATCTTGGTATGCACTACTTATATGATAAAGTCCAAATACTCCACGATCTGGCCTTAATTACCATCCTAGTCCTTTTCCTATTGTTTCAAGTAAGATAATCTCCACTTTAGCCAAAAATGAACTATTCCCCATTCTCAGAACATGACATGTCTTCCTGCAGATATTACCTCCTGAACTGGTGAATACTACTCACATTTAAGATCTAGATTAAATACTGTACTATAATCATTTCTCTACACACCATTCTCCCCACTAGATTACATCTTAATGGTCATATTTAAATAAATGACAAGTTAGTAACAATTTTACTAACAAAAGAGAAAAGAATCAGCCAAAGTAATTAGCAGTAATACTGTGCTTTTATACCAGATATTCCAACCAACTTTAGAAACATGCTTTTTACCTTTTTTGAGAAGTCTGCCTCACCCTGAGGACTGATTTGGTATTTATTCCTTTTAATACTATAAAGTTCTGCTGAGGTTCTACTAAACATTCACTGTGCCAATTTCTATTACTTACAGCGGCTGGGTGGGCTGATGTCCATTACAGTCAAAGTAGGATTGTCTATGTCACTTCCCCTTCTTCTTATTCGACTATCATCATACTCTGGGGTAAAGATACTGCTTCCACTGCTAGTACTTAAAGAGTGATCAGTAGGACTGAAACTCACAGGAGATCGGAAGCTGGTCCCCTGGGTCCTTCTAGCTCTTGGAAAAGTTTTACGACCTACAAAATCAAAATATAATTATCTTATACTTTTACTCGTGTTCTAACTGAAAGTATTTAAAATTTGTACAATAAGGTACAAATGTCTGTCTTGTGACTAGACTTGACAAGGCTAAGAAATAGAATTAGCAATGCTTATTTGATTACATGTTTTAAACTTAAGAATAGTATTTAAAAAAAAAAAAAGAAAAGAAAAAGAGTAGTATTTTTCTTTTAAAGGTCAAGGAAAATATCCTTAACACTGAATCATGAAGTCAAAAATGAAAATACAAGGTATAAGGAAGAGAAAAGGTAAGGAAGAAAAAAAAAATCAGAAATGAAAAGTGGGGAAAAACAGGATCTGAATATAAATTCAAACAATCTCTTTTGTTAAAACATACACACACATTCATAAAATCATTGTGCTCCCTTACTTCTGGATAAAAAAAAAAAATCTATTCTTATTTCCAATTATAAGAAAATTAGAAAATTTATAGGTAGCATTTTTTTTCCTTAAAAGTACAAATCAAGTATGAATTTCATCAAGGAGTAATTTTCTAGTTAATATCATTTTTAATTACATCTTTAAGGGAAAGGTAAGTATTATGAAATAAGGTGGCATAAACCTAAAATGTTATTATAGTTTTAGTTACCTAATTCCTTTTAAAAACTGTTTTCAACAGAAAACTAAATGATTTAGGAACAAATTTATTTCTAATGGTTTATGATATTTTAAAATTTCAATTTTATTTTTGAGTCTTTAAGATCCTGTTCTGTGGTCTGATTGCCAGAAACTTACCATCATTATAATCTTGATGGTGATATGAAACATGATACCTTCTTGGGTATGTTCCTCCTTTTCCAAATTTCTCAAAGATAGGGTTATCATAGTCTATTGAAACATAAGTAAGTTATATGTTAATTTAAAAAGTCCAGTATCTCTAATTTTTTTTTAGAAAATTTTATTTATGTATTTGACAGACAGAGATCACAAGTAGGCAGAGAGGAAGGCAGAGAGAGAGGAAGGGAAGCAGGCTCCCCCACAAGCAGAGAGAGAGCCCGATTCGGAGCTCGATCCCAAGACCCTGGGATCATGACCCGAGCCAAAGGCAGAGGCTTTACCACTTAGCCACCCAGGTGCCCCCATTATCTCTAATTTTAAATAAAAACACATTTACACACTTTTTATTCTTTTTTTTTTTTTTTAAATTCCCCTCTTCCTCCCAGCCAAAGCATTGTTTAATGACATAAATATTTAAACACATAGAATATGGATAGTCTAACCTGAAAATTCCTGATGATTATCTGGGTAGCTCTGTGCCCTAGGCATTCGTGATTTTGGATAGCTCTCTCTAAAAATAAAAAAATGTCACATTAAATGAACAGAAAGTATGTAAATAAGACATTTAAAATATCAGTATCTGTATGTGTGGAAATTATACCTATATACATACACATAAGAATAAAGGAGCTCAGTCTGAAATGTTAACTGAAAAAAAGAGACTTCTTTTTTAACACTTATTTGGTGCATGGAGGCAAAAGCCTGGCTTTTAAAATTAACCCACAGGGTATAGCAGTAAAAGTATAAGTTTTGGAATTATGGTTGTTGGCAAACACCTGTGTTTCAAAACTAGCTCTACCACTTAACTAGCAGTTGCAACCTTGGAATACCTATCAATTACTGAGACTTTCCATATCTATAAAAACAAGATAATAATTTCCAACTCATCAAGTGGGTATGTATGATGCATGGTGCTAAGGACAGTGCTTTGAAATATTAAGTGCTCAATATACAGCTTTCACATTATTTTCCTGAATTTCTTAAATGTTTCAATATCTATCTTGAGGTAGACAGGGGCACAGACAAAGGTTTCATGTGCACAGGTAAAAGAAAATTAAATGTGTATTCCCATAAAGTATTAGTTATATTTTCAGAATTTGCTCCAAAAAGAAATCCCAGAGGAGAGCAAATAAGTAAAGATTTTATGGACTCTGTGTGCTACATGTAAACACTATTTATTGATACCAGGAGAGGAGGAGCACCTGTAACAAAAAATTCATAGTTGCAACTTCACCCAGATTATAATTCCGAATAGCTATTTCACAAAAGTACTTAAGTTTTAAATGACAGCCAACATACTGGGCCACAATTACCAAGAAAGTAAGCTACTAATTTGGTGCCAGAATGAACATAATTATGAACAGGTGAAACAACTCAAGAAACCTCCAAAACTCAAAGTATTTTTTTTAAAGATTTATTTATTTGAGAGAGAGAGCGCATGTCTGCACACGCACGCATGGAAAAGGTGGGGGTGGGTAACAGATGACCTGAGCCAAATCAAGAATTGGAAGCTCAACCAACTGCACCACCCAAGCATCCCACCAACAGATTTTTAAAAGTAAACTCCATAAATTCTAAGTTTGCATTTAGCTTCAAACATAGAATTCTGGTAAGCAGAAATACTCATTATAATCAAGTTATCATTTTACCTAATAAAGATACTGAGCCCCAGAAGGTTAAGGGGTTTGTCCAAACGGTGAAAAAATTCATTTGTCCTAAGTATAAACAAGTATCAATTACATTCCTCTGACATACTATATATACACGTTTACCCGTATATATTAAAAAATAAAAACTACAATCAATATTACCCATCCAAAGGACTATCAAGGGATGGACAACTTCCTGAGCCAGAATTTTCAGGACTGCTTAAAGACAATGGGTCCAGCATCTAGAAAAATAAAGAGTTCCTCCATGATTCAATGTGATATAACCAAAAGTTACCAGTTTCTTTTAAACAGCTTTATTGTGATATAATTCATATAACATAAAATTCACCCATTTAAAGTGCGCAATTTAGTGGTTTTTAGTATACTGCGAGCTGTGCAACTCTCATCAGTATCTGAAAACACTTTCAGTACCCAAAAGACCCCCTGTCCAATAGCAGTCACCTCCCCGAGTTACTAATTTTTTAATGTTTTAAAAAGTGATCCCTTATAGGTAGGTAACTTCAAAATTTCCTAAGAGAAAAATATTTTCTCTATAGACTATTAGCTAAATAATCAAAAGCTAAAAGATTTCACATAACTGCTCACTGAACACTGAACAGCCCCACTCAAACTGAGAATAATGACACCATGACTACTACATAATTAAACACTTAAAAATGTTTTACAAAGTTGACAAACCTAAGCTTCACAAAGTTAAATATCTGCAGTTTTACTGTATCTTTCAAATGTCAAAAATCTGAATGTTAACCCCACAATTACAAATAAATGCATTCATTTATTTATAGATGAGTAGAGTAAGAAAACCAGCCTTATTCTAGCTTTTTTTATACATGATGCACACAGGCTCATGTAACTTAGTTGGCATTTTCCTATGTGTTTTACTATTTTGTTCACTTAAGAGGGAAGATATGGGATGGGAGAAAAGATCACACACTCACACACATACAAAATACCAGCCAAACCACACAAATCCTGACAACATCCCTTTAAGTGAAATGAAAAATGACATCCAACTTTTGCTTACTTGGTCCATGCTCTCTGGAATGAACTCTCCTTCACTGTTGATACTGGTGAATGACCCATTCCGGGCAACCTGGTGTAATTCATCTGGAATGTATCCTGGGGGTGGGGAGCTTCTATCTCTACTAGTGGGACCTCAAAGGAAAAAAATTATACAATTTTATAAATATCAACTGGGAACTAATTTTTGTTTCAATTAAATATGCACACAGGATTTCTGGACTGCAGTACCAATAATTTTAGCCACTAAAATTCAGTTTTTATTAAAACTTATCCAAACATTTCTATAAATCTGCAAATATATTTATACCTTTTTTTAAAATTTCCACCCTACTATAATAATTAACCTCACTGTAATATTTATTTATACTTATTAGGTGGTATATTCCTCTAACTGCTGACAACTGTACTATGGGGCTGATATTATAATAAAGATTTTTAGATGCCACTGCTTCTGAACTTCTAAGGGTCATTTGTACTAGATATATGTTACCCTTTAAGGGGATTTATGGAAAGCATCATAATGTAGTAGAAAAAATGTGGGCTTTAGACCTGTTTAAATCTCAGTTCTAAGTTATTCACCAACTGTATGTCTTTGGTGAAGTTGCCCAATCCCCACCAACCCATTTCCTCAGCTGTCAACACAAGACTAAATCCCTCCTCTCTCACAGAACAAACTGATGGTTGCCAAAGGGAAGGTGGGTGTGGGGACAGGTGAAACAGGTGAGGGGAATTAAGAGTACACTCATCTTGGGCGCCTGGGTGGCTCAGTGGGTTAAGCCTCTGCCTTCGGCTCAGGTCATGATCTCAGGGTCCTGGGATCGAGGCCCGCATTGGGCTTTCTGCTCAGCGGGGAGCCTGCTTTCTCCTCTCTCTCTCTATGCCTGCCTCTCTGCCTACTTGTGATCTCTCTCTCTCTGTTTCAAATAAATAAATAAAATCTTAAAAAAAAAAAAAAGAGTACACTCATCTTGATGAGCACTAAGAAATGTACAGAACTCGAATCACTAAATTGTACACCTGAAACTAACATAACACTGTATGTTAATCATACTTTAAAAAATAGATTAAAAAATACATAAAGCCAGCACTTAGGTTAAACAAACAAAAAAGACTAAATCCTCCTTTGCAAGGGTATTATGGTGGTAAAATCACTCATACTGAACATATGCTCTGCATATTTGGCTCCACGATGCTCTTCCTGTTCCCTTTCCTTAATCTTTAGAAACCTAAAGTGTATACACAACTAACAATCACTAAACACTACATCAAAAACTAATGATGTATTGTATGTTGGTTAGCTGAACAGAATAAAAAAAAATTTTTAAAAACCCCACAGAAACCTAAAGTGAGATTACTCTTAAATTCCTTAGTCCCTGTTAGAGTATTTTCAAATTGGAATTCTGACTTTTATTCTGGGATACTTTAAAATTGAGTTTTATGATAAGCCACATTCCTGGCATTTAAATTTCTTCACAGTTCTGAAAATGAGAAAATCTAATGTAGTTCATCTAACAAATCATATCATTTATGAGACAATAATCCACTTTATTTTTACCTGATTTTATAGAAATAACACTATGTTTATTAACACAACTCTCCCCTTTTCTCTGAATATTTTGAAATTAAACTACTAAAGATACAGGAAAGTTATATGAGCATTTAAGTTTTGGTCAGATTTAAAGCAAAAAGGCTTTGCCTTATTAAAAGGGGTCACTGTAAGTATATGTCAGCATTTGTTAGTGAGGAGGAGATAGGGAGAAAGAGAACAAAATGATTACCAAGGAATGTGCACAGAAAACATAACTTTCCACTTGATTCTGAAATTAGGAACTCAACTCTGAGCCAGAGGTTTACTTAAGCCTTGTAACACCTATGATCACACTGTCCCTAGTATTTTTATTCCTTCCATATACCCTAAGAAGATCAATATACTCATTACTAAAAGGAGATAGGGAAGAAAAACTGTGAAGAAAGTTTCTTCATCTCCTTACTTGATAATACATCTTTCTTTTCATTTATTCATTTAATTTTTACCCAAGTCTAGTTGATATACAATGTTAAAACAGCTTTAAGGTATACAACATAGTGATCTGACAATTCTAATGCTCACCACTGGTTAAGTGTAGTTGGCATCTATCACCATATGTTATTTCAATAGTATTGACTATATTTCCTACATTGTGCTTTTCACCTCCGTGACTTATTTTATAACTGGAAGTTTGTACCTCTTAAACCCCTTCACCTATTTTGCCCAACTCCCCACTCCCCTGACAAATGCTCATTTGTTCTCTGTGTCTAATAGTCTGGTTTTTCGCTTGTTAATTCATTTGTTTTGTTTTTTAGATTCAACATATAAGTGAAATCAGATGGTATATGTGTTTCTCTGACTTGTTTCACTTAGCATAATACCCACTAGGTCCATCTGTGTTGCCACAAATGGGATGGTCTCATTTTTTTAATGACCCAGTAATATAGCATTGTATATATATCCACACCACATCTTTAACTATTCATTTATCAATGGATACTTAGGTTGTATCCATATCTTGGCTTATATATAATGCTACAATAAATACAGGGATGCATATATCTTTTCAAATTAGCTTTTCTTCGAATTTCGTCGCATTTCATTTTCTTTACCAAAAGACACAAGAAAAGATGCTCAACATCACTCATCATCAGGGAAATGCAAATCAAGCCACAATGAGATATCACCTCACACCTATCAGAAAGGAACAGAAGATGAATAACAGATTTTGGAGGGTCCCACACACCAATTTAATCTTTTCTTTTGTTATTAACAATCCTCTTCTGTTACTAGTCTTGGATTCCCAACCACATCTCTTATTCTGCCCCCTCTTCTGCTTTCTCCCTCTTATCTGTTTCACCTCCTCTTCTACTTTTCCCTTTCAAATCCATCCCTCACATTTGTTTTCATGCTGTCTTAAATGATCACACTCACTGCCCTGTTAAAAAAACATTTACACCAGTGGTTTTTGAGCAATGTAATATTTTTAACATAAAAAATGCATATAATTAATGTTTTATACTAACTGAAGAAGATCCACAGAACTAGGGATTTTAGAGCTCCTCTGCCTTGCCCACACCTCTCTACTAGACCTCCTTCAAAACTGACAATACAGAAAATCCATTGTTTCTTTGTATACTACAAGCTTAATTTTAACAATCTATTATTAATGACGAATACTGAATACTAATAAAGCAATAATCTGGAAACTCTCAGCAATTCATTCTGATAGGACTGCAATGACTAAAACTTAGAGAAAGTCTTATGAACTTGGTCCATCCATTAATTTCAGTATACTAGAATTACTTCTTTTAATTTCTTCCCTCCAGTTTATTTGTGTAATTAAAACCTCTTTGAGGTTTTACTTGGATTTTTAAATATTAAAATACCCTAAGTACATAAAGAAAACAAATATTTAAGTTGGAGACTGCTAATCTTGTAACACTTGATATAACTTTTCACGGAACATCAGAAACTAGAACACAGTTGAGAAAAATTACAGAGTACAGAGACAGGCTGTTATTTATCATGGTTATGTTTAGGTGTTACGTACATTAAAGGATGGAGAAGAAACTGAGAAACTGCCCATTTTATGGTTCAGACACTAGCATTCTTACCTACTATAGAAAGTCGCTTTTTCCTCTCTGCTCCAAATACTGTGTTATCTAAGTCTTCTAGTGATGGCAACGGTTCTAAATTAGTAGCCTAGAAAGGAAAAAGGATGATTAATGCTATTCTTCTCCTTTGGGGCTTCAAACAGAATCTTTTCCCCTACCAAATACAACCCAGATATTCTGTATTATTTATAGGTCTTACCAAATCTATTTTCTGAAATTTTAATTCCAACATAATTCTTCCTAAATTTTTAGTATTTCTATTAGTTCCAGATGTACAAAATATTATACTTATTTATAATTCTGGCTACATAGTTTTGAGGAGCAAGGATAAGCTATAGCAATTCAGTATGTAAGTTTACATTTCATTATACTTAAAAAGAATCAATGATTATAGAATGTAACTATGTTTCATATACTGACTTTCACTGGCATTAATGCTATAATCCTTACTGAAAGAAGTATCAATTCATACCTGTGCACTTCCATTTATTACAAGTAATATCTTGAGGCTCTTCATATGAATACTACGATCCAGCAGTTCCACAGCTTTGTCCAAGTCATCTTGGGTAGTTAATGGAATTACCAACTAAACAAAATGGAACATAATGTATCATACAACCATCCCACCAGGTCAAGTCCTTTCAAAAGCATCTCTGTTACCATGGAATTACAAATTTCAAAATACCCTGGCTCTGTGAATCGTCAGTGCAATGAAATTCTGAATGAATAATGTATTTAGATTATTTCACTCTTCCCATCCTAAATCCCACTAAAATCATAGACTGAATAAGGGCAAAAAAAATTTTTTTTGCTTTATTAATTAAATTCTTCTAGAAAACACAATTAAAGATTAATTTTTTAAGATATTCCCATAAGGCTGCATTCCAAAACAGCACTAAAGAACACACAGGAAAAACTATATAAAATAAAAGAACTATCTTTCATCTGCATTGATTAAACTCACATTTTTCCCTATAGCAACTATGAATTTGCATTCTCAACTGCAGTGCTTATCAACATCACAAATACAATCAATCTATAGCGGATGCCATGGAGGGGGCCACTAGCAATGTATCTGCAATCTACAGTCCACGGGGGCTCTCATATCTGACCCTGGTGACTTGACCATTAAACTCTAAACAGATAAGCTAAATGGGTCAGCCATCCAAAGTAAACCCTAAATATGGGTACGTGCTTTCACTAGTTCTCTAATGGGTCAGATGTTATAAAGGACAAAAGCAGAGGTGCCTAGGTGGCTCAGTGGGTTAAGCACCAGACTCCTGATTTCAGCTCAGGTAATGATCTCAGGGTCCTGGGATCAAGTCCCATGTCAGGTTCCACACTCAGCAGGGAATCTGCTTGAGGATTCTCTTTCCCTCTCCCCCTCTTGCCCACCCCCTACTCACATGCACGCATATTCACTCTCTCTCTAAAATAAATAAATCTTTAAAATAAATAAAGGACAAAAGCACCTGAGAAGTCTATGAAAAAACATGCTTATACAACTTAAGAATTAACACTTTTTAAAAAAAAATGTAAACTTAGTTCCTAAAGACAACTATCAATAATCTTCAACTGTGTATTCCATCTCACTGAAGGGTGGACAGAATAAAAATGAACATATGCCATACCTGCTGCCCAGCTCTATTTAAGTACAGTATAGAAGCCTTTCACAAATGTAAACGCCTAGTTAGTTTGGGTCCTTAACAGTATAAATTCCTTTAGGACAAGGACACTAATAAGTGACACAGAACATGGCAAAGAGTAAACAGTTTTAACGGATGTCATAAGGTAAAAGCTTCATCTGTAACCAAACCTATTAGCTGACACGGTATGCATTCTCTGCTGATTTCTTTATGGAAAATAGCCCTTGTTTTAATAAAGGCTGCCAAACACAAATAATGTGAATTCTGGACTAATGTGAATTCTATCATGCAATCCACTTAAATTTACTTAATGAGTACGTGAAATTATATTCCCAATTTCTTTTTTTAGTTACTTTAGTCATTTTGTACTATTCCAATTTACCCACTAACCAGGCGTTTTTTTTCCTCTTTGAGAATTTTTCTCAAATAGAAAATAATAGAAATAATAATAAAAATATAATAATATATAATTAATAATAGAAAAAGAATAATAACTGGTATCACAGAGTAAACATAAAAGGAAAAAGAATATCCTTTCATTTTCCTATCAATTATGAACCATAATAATATACCCTGTTCCCATCTTTAGTATTCTTTTTAATTATATTTTAAGCACTAGAAAACATTTTAAAGCAATGAAGATTTTTTTTCCAGTTTTCCATTTGAGGGGAAAACCCGACTATTTAACTACATATTCATTAATAATTGGATTGTTTACTTCTCCAAGATACTATTACTTTCGGGGTTAAAGACACTAGTTTAAATCTCAGTAACATAAATGATTCTGTTCTTCTTCAGTTTGTTAATGTGATATCTGGGCAATCTGGAGGAGTATGTGGATTGGTAGCCTGGACTACCACCTATGGTTCTGATGTGATCCCTTAAACGTTCTAGGGTCACCTATTATCAATTTTACAATGAGGACTAAGAGTTAAGAACAAGTCCCAGCTTGTCTAAATTACATTAAATAAGTCACACGTTTTCCTGCTTAGTGAATTCATTCCAGCCTCATTCTTGAAATCTATTTCCCTCTACCTTAACATTGATATATTGTCAGTTAATATAAATCCTTTCTGGAAACTAAAAATTGAGTCCCAAAAGCCACTAAATAGAACCTAAATTTGAAAGAAGTGATTTGTTTATGTGATTTACATAGTGAAACATGGTAATAGTCCATAAAGAGGTTTCCCTCAACTCTAACCATCTAAAATGGGAATGATCTTAGAAAATCCACTTACCTTGCCCGAACACCCTCACACCACACACACACCCACACTCACTCTCTCTCTCTCCCTCGACACTATTAAATAAAGAGAAGCCCAACTAACAAATCCAACAAATTCCAGCTTACATTTTCACACTGTTTCAATTCTGGCAAGCTACAAGTTTACAGAATAATAGTTCTTTTAGAACACAGGGATTTATGCTATACTAGAAAAAAACAGCTACAGAACTGGGATAACAAGCAGTATAAATTAGTTTTTTGCTTGTTCACAGGTCCACAAAACCAAGACTTTATATGTCCCTCAGCATTGAAGGACATGCATGGAGTTTGTCATGGTTAACTCACAGAAGTCAGTCTCACGGAACCTCTTAATTGAAAGAAATTTTTAAACAACGTAATCTTACCCTAATGTCTCTTCTTATACATTTCTGCCAAGAGGCCACTCATACAGAATGGCAGAACCACTGACCAGAAATCCTTCAGAAAGCATGAGAAAAAGAAACTGAATATGGAGAAATTTTCCAATTTTTTAGAAAATAGAAGAAAGTTCCTCAAACTACAGATTAGTTAGCTTGATGTCAATCCTCAAGAAAACTCAAGAAAAAATTATTTGAAACAAACTGGAAGGAAAAGAAAGAAAGAGCAATTCTAGGAGCTAGAACAGATACAATACGAACAAATTATGTCAAACTAATCACATTTTTCTTGATAAACCTACTAGACTGGTAGATCAATACAATATTGTAGTCTTAATATATCTTGATATTTTAGAGTTTCCCATGATATAATTTTAGACCAAACAAAAAGAAAGATATAACCTGGTTCCCCTAAAATCATACCATGAAATAAAGAAATCAAATTCAAGCCTGTTTATACAGGAAAAGATTCTAGGAAACATTGATACGGGAATGGGGAAGTCAGGGAAGGAGGCCCATATAGGGTGTGTTATCCAGCAAGTTACCACTGTGTTTAAGTGGAACCCATCCATCCCCATCCCTCACCCCATTCTTGAGTCTCATTCTCCCATCACCTCCCCAACACCCCAAATGTACTTTTGTGTAGACCCTACAGCTATACCTCTGAATAGCCTTCAGTCTCAGGGGCTGGCAGCACAACAGAAACAGGAAGTGCCAACATAGGGCCAAGCAACAAGAGGTGTTCGTGGCTAACTAAAAACACAAAAAGTACTTGAAAATTGAAAATTTTAAGGTATTACTATAGTATGATACTCATCACTTTGTTCAAGAATATTGTTTGAATACAGATTTTTACTCTATCAAAATATTTTCTGATTTCATCTGTAAATGGTTTCTTTAGAAAACTAATTAGCATACTTTTGCTTTAAATAATAATTCATTTGAAAAGATAATATTAGGGGCACCTGGGTGGCTCAGTGGGCTAAAACCTCTGCCTTCAGCTCGGGTCATGATCCCAGGGTCCTGGGATGGAGCCCCACATTGGGCTCTCTGCTCGGCAGAGAGCTTGCTTCCCTTCCTCTCTCTCTGCCTGCTTCTCTGCCTACTTGTGATCTCTGTCAAATAAATAAATAAAAATCTTAAAAAAAAAAAAAAGCTAATATTAGAAAATATTTTATTTGCACAATTCTTGAACACTTGCAAAGCACTTTCACATGTTTTCTCAAGTTAATTTTTACTAAGCTCTCTACCATTACTCCATTCCCATTGGCACTTTTTCTATTCCTAAAACATAGTAGTCTTTTCTATCTTAGGATCTCTGTAGGCAATTTTCTCAGCTGCTCTTTCTACCAGGAATGTTCTTCCCCTCAAACTATTTGCAAGTTTGGCATTTCTTACCTCAAGTCTCAGTAATTAAATATTACCACCTCAGTTCTTAGTACTATCTAAACAGAACACCTACTTGCCTTGCCTTTATTCTTTTTCATGTTCACAGTATTTTATGCATGGCCTTCAAAGAACCTCATATATTTGAATAACTCATTATTTGTCTGCTTCTACCACAAGTCTATAAACTCCATGAAGGGCTGCAATTCATAAATCACAGTATTATGTCTGTCAAATTCAACAAGTATTTTCTGAGGAAAACAACAAATTAACCGATCAACCAAATTGGGTCCCTGAAAATTTTAAGATTAAAGATCTTGAGATCTCATAGGATCTGAAAGAAACCTCAGAGATTACCTAATCCAATCTGAGTTTTACAGAAAGTACAAAAGCGGATTTTCCAGAACACAGAGCTCCTCAATGCCAGAGAAAGCCCTTAAGATCACATGTATTGACTCACAAACATAAACATAATGATCTAATCATGCCCTAACACAAAAATAATCCTTTTAAAGTTTTAACTAAACTACTAAAGCTCTATTGTCTCTATAGCCGAGTGCAGAGTATGAGAAAAAAAGTTCACCAAAAAGTACACACAGTGATAATAAAACATAGATAAGCAGTAAACTTTTTTTTTAAAGATTTTAATTATTTATTGAGAGACAGAGAAACTTGGGGAGGAGCAGAGAGAGAGTGAGAGAATCTCTAGCAGACTCCCCACCAGAGAGCCAGACTTGGGGGCTTGATCTCACAATCCTGAAATCACAACCTGAGCCAAAATCAAGAGTTGGACACTTAACTGACTGAGCCACCCAGATGCCCCAGCAGCAAACTTCTAAATAATACATATGTTTCCCGCTTCAATATATTCTCATTCAATTATTTGCACAATAGCATCTTTACATGCTTTACACAATGTAAAAAATAAAACATTTCAATTAGATAAACTTTACAAATTTACTTATAATATTTTATTTCTCTAACATACCATAACCTTATCAGTCCCTAAATAAATATTCCTAAAACAGTCTCTTAGGGGCACCTGGGTGGCTCAGTGGGTTAAAGCCTCTGCCTTCAGCTCAGATCATGATCCCAGGGTCCTGGGATCAAGCCCCGCATTGGGCTCTCTGCTCTGCGGGAAGCCTGCTTCCTCCTCTCTCTCTTCTCTCTGCCTACTTGTGATCTCTATCTTTCAAATAAATAAATAAATAAATCTTAAAAAAAAAAAAAAAGTCTTTTACATGAACATACTACTTCCCAAAATAAGAGCAACTGAAAGTTAAACTGTACAAGTTTACCTCATTATTGGTATAATGGAGATCCATAGACTGTCCAAAGGCAATTTTAGCCTTAGATCTCAGATCTTCCAGTTTAACTGGTCTGGGGAATTGAAGGATTCTATACAGACAGAATTTTACGATAATTAATTTTCTTAGGCATAGTTAAGTAACATTTAAAACAGTTATCTCTTTGGTAGAGAAATATAAAATGAAGTCTGAAACTGCTTTATGAATATTAAAAAGCAATTGTAAAATGTTCACTGAAGAACGTGATTAAAATTAAACTATGTGATTTCTATATAATGGAATGCAATGAAATGGTTAAAAAGAATGAAGTTTTTCCTTAGGGATTTAAATTTTGATTTCTGTATCCTTATCAACTCAACATTTTTGATCACCTATATATCATGTAAGTATATCCCCCAAATAAGTATTTAAAAATTTTAAATTCTAATATTTCCTCCCTATGTAGTAAAGGACTGGCCTGTACTGCCCATGGGAGGCATGCAGCTAAGCTTGGAGATTTCTACACCAGACTGTAAACTCTGTAAGGGGGAAAGACCATGTCTGTTTTAGTCTTTATTCCTTCATGGTCCAGTACTTACAATACTTAATAAATAGTGCTCAGTAAATGGAAAAGAACTGAGGAAATATCCATAAAAGAACAATAAATAGGGGAAAAGTAGATTGGACAACAGGATGGAATATCTGGTATAACCCATTTTTGTAGACATCTCTGTGTAAAGCACATTTACATCTTCAGGTTATAGGACTTACGAGCCTTTTTAAAGTCCTTAAAATGGATAGCTCTTTCATTAAATGAATTTAATGAGACACTAATAACAGAAATGAAATCCCATCTTCTTTAACTCCTACTAGACCTTGTTAGCAATTTTGTTGTCAATTACCACCACCGCCCACCACCACTACACTAAGATAGAGATACCCAGGAGAAGGCTAGGCTTATACCTTTGCTGATTAATTTATAGCCACCATGCCAACTCTATTTCTCAAAGTTACTAATTAAATACATGTCATATGATTGAGGTCTCTCAAACAAAATTATGAATGTTAACTCCATGTACATAAATTCTATATAATATCTGAAGGAATTATACAATTACAATGAGCAGAAATATATTTAATTTCCTCCGAGTAAAAATAAAAGGAATGGTAATATTAAAGGCTGCATTATGCAATGACCTTTTTTATTTCTTAAAATAAAAACAATCATTTCTAATGTTTAACCTAAATTCTGAGAGATTCTATTTTAAGTCTAAGTGCATGTTATACATTACAAAGGACTATTCCACTCTCAATTTGTAAGCCATGAACCTCCACTAAAGTCCAGAAAAAAACCCCTAATGGCTTTAATTATGACTCATTTGATTAAATCAATAAACTAAGATGTAATGTTTCTTTCCTTACCTTTTTTCCCCTCTATGTTCAAATTTGACTCGAACATCATTCTGTAATGAAACGATAAATCATTTCGGAAATCAGATAATATTTCTAGAATTTCTAGGTCATTTTTTTTCTTAGTCACCCCTTTCCTGCCCCCTGTCTTGGTCACTCATTTAAAATAGAAGAGGAGGAAAGGATGTTTCATTTTCAGTGTGAACTCCAATTAACTGATTGTGTCCATAAAAAAGCCAACCTGAGAATTGTGCTGTTGAATCTGGGCTGAAAGCAAAGAACACCACAATCTCTTGGTGTTAGAACCAAGGGTATGAGACACTTGCTAGTCTGTTAAAGGGAAATATAGAATACTATATTCCCACTTTTTGTGTTGAACATCCCAAACAAATTTTATTTATAAAAATCAAAATAATGCTCATTTATAAATACAATACACTATTTTAAAATAAAAACAATTTGCTTATCTTAAATGCTTCAAGAATGGATGAAATATCATCATTAGAGAGCAATTACCACGTTAAATGCTAGCATACCCATTTGGAAAAAAATGTATGACAAACAACAAAATATTTGACTTAAAAGTGTAAACGAGAAGACACTTTAACAAACCCTAAGACCGGGATATTCATGACAAATAACTCATTTAACAACAATATGTATTTATTAAAATATTAAAACTAATACCTGCTTTTTTGGTGATGAAGCTTTTGTTTTTCTGGTTTCCTGTAAAGATAATGCTGGTCGACTGGCTTTATGAAGAACAGCCAAATCTTGCATGATTGAGTTCAAAGCTTGCTGGTCATCTGAGTATTTTCAAAATAATATATACACAGAATTGTAATTTAGATATTTATTTATCATAGATATCAAACACAAAATTGATCATGAAATTTAATGCAAAATGCATTAATTTAACACAAAAAATGCATCTAGAACATTTTCAACGCCTACACTGATATTTTGGTGAAATAAAGTTTTAATTATTTAAAAACTGAAGACAAATAACATTAAAACTGCCCTAGACTCAAGTACTAGTATCACACTAGGTGTGACATTTACAGGCAAGATAAAGCCATTCTGATTCTTCTAACAATGTAACATTCAAGTATAGTGTCAAAACAGTCCCATCATAACAAATTACTTTCTATGACTCCTAAATAAAACATCAGTAGAACACCTAAAATTTTAATTGAAGCAAGTTGGGTGGGGGAAAAATAAAAGACTTTCATCATTATTTGGCATTTATGTTCAAAGTACAAATTCCTTTTAGAGTTTTTCATCAGTACTTCAAGGGAGAAACAAAAAGCTTTATCTGTGGATAATGACCTAATGATATTTGGGAGTGTTTTCCTGAATTTCCTCACCATGAAGTTCAACAGGACTACAAACATTTAACAGACTATTTAATGATCTCAGCCATTAACAACTTAAATGGTAATAATGTAAGAAAAATGCATTCCTTAGAAAAAATGTGGTGAATCCGTAAGTGGTGAACCCCTAAAACTGAGTGAAAGGATCATGAACCATGAACTTTAAACTTCTTCCAAATATATCAATTTTTTAAGCATGAATCTCCTAGTAATAACAATTACATGCACTCTGGAAAAGTTCATGCCTGGCTTAAATCTCTTATCACATTTATATATGCTAATTTCCTTGTTTAAAAAAATGAGTACATTTTTTCTATTATAGATGTAAAAAAGTAAAAAGGACCATTTGAATAAAAGTAATTTCTTAGTGAGATGACATACAAATGAAGGCAATTTAAAAGTCAGGTTTCTTCATCTAGTATTCTCTCTGGACATCAGAATCTAAGTAAGTCCCAATCTATTTTAGCAGTTTATTTTGAATGTCCCTACTAGGATATCCTGCATGACATGGTCATTCCAAATCTGTAAGTTAACTCAAAGAGTGTTTTAAAACACTTTTTATCTATTAAGTAAATAAATATAAAACAATTATACAAGTCTACATCATAAAACTTCTTTATAAAAATGTTCTTCATACACACAGAGAAAAATTTTTCTTCCCCATTTTATCTCTTAATTACAGACAAAAGTTGCTTTTGGTTTGAACTCACCCATCATGGCAACCAGCTCAACAATTTGAAAATTAAGAAAATGGTTCTTCCATCAGCATTCTTTACTTCCTGAGGAGAAAAAAGATGAACACATTAGTAATAAAAAGAAATAGAAGAGGCAGCCACACACACACAAAAATCAGAATAAGGTGTGCCTGGGTGGCTCAGTGGGTTAAAGCCTCTGCCTTCAGCTCCAGTCATGATCCCAGGGTCCTGAGATTGAGCCCCGCATCGGGCTCTCTGCTTGGCAGGGAGCCTGCTTCCCTTCCCTTCTCTCTGCCTGCCTCTCTGCCTACTTGTGATCTCTGTCAAATAAATAAATAAAAATCTTTTTAAAAAAAAGTCAGAATAAATAACACTAATGAGAAAAATACAATATTAATACTTTATATATTTTACCGGGGAAAAGTGCTTTATTTTTGCAAGATAATTACTGAGAATGAACTAAGGATCATTATCATAGTCCATATTAAATTTAACTCAGTATTTTTAAGGCTCCTGTCTAAGCTAGAAAAAACAACAGAATTTTTCAAAGTCAAAAATCTTTTTTTTCTTCCCCTTGCCCAAAGTCGAAAATCTTTTCTTTTTTATTGAAAGGTTTTATTTATTTATTTGGGAGAGAGAGAGCAGGGGAGGAGGAGAGGAAGAGGTGGAAAGAATCTCAGGCAGACTCTGTGCTGAGTGCAAAGCCTGACTTGGGACTTGCTCTCATAACCCATGAGATGACAACCTGGGCCAAAACCAAGAGTTGGACGCTCAACTAAACCACTCAGGCATCCCAGCAAGGTCAAAAATCTTAGTAATAACCCCATAAATTCCTACAAGGCAGATATAAAATGAGTAGAAAAGGTCATTACCTTTAGAGACAAAAAAGGAGAACATTAAAAATATAGTAAATATCTACAAAAATTCTCTTCCAAAAAAGAAAAAAATGTCATAATCAACTTTTTCAGAACTCTGGAACTACCCAAAAGGCTTGTAGCAATCTGGGCAGCACTTAACAATCTTGGTAAAAAGAGAGCCTCTGACCTTCCCTAGTCGTATCTCCCACCCTTATCCCTAGCTCCAAAATAGCAATGTAAACCAACAGTCTACAGTCACTGTGAAAATAAGCAGCTTGACTACCACTGGAGAGGGCAGAATGGAATTGGAACTTCTTCAAAGTCTGATTCAAAAAAAAATGCCATATAACCTATCTAGTGGTTGTTCAATAGACCCAACTTGAAAGGCAGAATTTATTCAATCTGACTAAAGTTCTTCCAGTTCAAAGAGCTTGGAGTGTTTCATGAAATGTAAAAGAACTGTTGGGGCAAACAATAGGTTTTAGCCAAGTTGAGGAATGAGATTTCAGAAAGGAGCTCTGAATAGCTCCAACAGATTCCTGGGACTCAAAGTCACATATATGCCCAGAACTGTTGCAAAATAAAGATAGGCCAAAGAAGGCCCTAGGCTTCCACCTAACAACTAAACTAACGTCAGTGACCACATACAACACAAAACACAAACTTTAAACAATTAGTGCCCAAAAGTCACTAAACAAGTAAGAACAATTAAACAAAACATACTGGAGTTGGAGAAGAATCTGATTTCCAGAGGTGGCATACAATTTTTTTCTTCAGAAAAAATTATGAGATATATAAATATAGTATGACCCATACACTGGAGGGGCGGGGAGAGATCAGCAGAAACTGACTGTAAGGGGAGCCCAAATGTTGAAATAACTAGACAGAGAGATTAAATTAGCTATTTTAGGGGGGCCTGGGTGGCTTAGTGGGTTAAGTCTCTGCCTTCAGCTCAGGTCATGGTCTCAGGGTTCTGGGATCAAGCCCCGCATTGGGCTCTCTGCTCAGCAGGGAGCCTGCTTTCCCCCTCTCTCTGCCTGCCTCTCTGCCTACTTGTGATCTTTCCCTCTGTGTCAAATAAATAAATAAAATGTTAAAAAAATTTTAAAAAGTTAAGATTTTATTTATTTAACACACACAGAGAGAGGAGAAGGTTTCTGGGGGAAATTGGAGGGGGAGACAAACCATGAGAGACTGTGGACTCTGAGGAAACGAGGGTTTTGGAGGGGAGGGGACTGGGAGGTTGGGTGAACCTGGTGGTGGGTATTATGGAGGGCACATATTGCATGGAGCACTGCGTGTGGTGCATAAACAATGAATTCTGGAACACTGAAAAGAAATTTAAAAAATAAATAATTTTTTTTAAAATTTTAAATAAGTAAATAAATAAATAAATAAATAAATAAACTATTTTAAATATGTCCAAAGAACTAGGGAATGTATGAGAATGATGACTCATCACAAAGAATATCAATAAAACCCCAAAAACTTAAAAAAGAAACCAGACAGAAATTTCAGTTGGAAAACATAATATCTGAAACCATTAAGCACACCAACTTATGCATAATGGGAGTCCCAAAAGAAGAGAAAAAGAAAGGTGCGGAAAGAATATTTAAAAAAATAATAGTGAAAAACTTTCTAAATTTGGTAAAAAACAACTTACACATCCAAGAAGTCCAACAAACTATAAGAAGGATAAAAATCAAAATGATCTACACCTAGATACATCACACTCAAACTGTTGAAAGATAAGGAATCTGAGAGCATCAATAAAGTAGGAACTCATCATTTACCAGGGATGCTTAACTGATTTTTGTTGATAACATAAGAAGGCAGAAAGCAGTGGGTAACATTCAGAGTACTGAAAGAAAAAAAACTATCAATCAAAAATTCTATATCCAACAAAACCATCCTGCAAAACTGAAAACAAAATTAAGACATTCCTACACAAACAAACACAGAGAATTCGTTACAACTAGACCTGCACTGTAAGAAATACAAAAGGAGCTCTTCAGGTTAAAATATAAAGGACACTGGATGGCAAATCCAATCCACATGCAGAAAGTAATGGTAATTAATTACATATCTAAAGATTAAAAAAGACCACAAAAATGTTTGTTTCTTTTCATTTCTTCTATATGTGAATGTAATAGGTACAAAAATGGTCCACCCCATATCCCATTTCCTAGAACCTTTGCAAATATATTACCTTACATGGCAAAAGGATCTTTGAAGATATGATATGTTAACAAATTTAAGATGAGAGAATTATCCTGGATTACTGGGGTCAGACCTAACATAATCACAAGGATCCTTATAAATAAAGGAATAAGCAGGAAAGTGAATGTCAGAGTGATGCTGCATAATAAAGGCTTGACCTGTCACTGTTGGCTTTGAAGACGGACCAGGATAGCCATGAGCTAAAGAATACAGGCAACTGCTGGAAAGTAGGAAAGGCAAGAAAAATGGATTTTTCCCCTTTAGCCTCCAGAAGGAGTCTGGCAGAGTCTGGCAATGCTGACACCTTGATTTTTAGCCCAGTTAGACTCATTTCAGACTTCTGACTTCCAAAACTTTAAGACAATAAACTTAGGTTGTTTTAAGCCACCAAATTTGTTGTAATCTGTTACAGGAGTATGGAGTGAGTACTTAAGACCACACCCAGTTTCTATGACTTGCCAGGGAACTCAACTGACTCAGCAATACAGTTCACACTAACAAGCTATTATTTATTATGCCAAAAAGATACAGGGCAAAATCAGCAAAGGGAAAAGGCACATGGGACAAAGTCCAGGGAAGGTTAGGGCTAGCTCTTAAGGATCTTTTTTTAATAGTCACATAGGACACAATTCCTCTTGCCCTCCACCCAGCCATGAGTTATGACAACACACGTAAAACGTCACCAATCAGGAAAGATTAGAGACTCAGCACCAAGGGTCTTATTAGGAGCTGATCAATAGGTATCCTCTGCCTAGCACATACCAAAATTCCTAACTCCCAGAAGAAAAGCAGGTGTTCAGCATAAACTATATTGTTTGTATAAGGAGCTTAGGCACGGTGAATCATTATTATCATTTAGGCAGTTGTGGACTCTGGTAAATTCTCAGATGCTAACCAAGGGTGGACCTCTTAGAGCAGTTTATTCTAATGATACGCAGTGAGGCCCACTATGTTAATTCTCTTCTACACAAGCAACAACAAATTACACAGGTTTAAAGAAAACTGCATAGAGCAATAATATAAAGTGTTTTGTTGTGCACATAATATATAATAATATAATTTGTATAACAACAGCAAAAAGGAGAATGGAATTACATAAAAAAGTGTATGTATACCACTATAATTAAGTTGGTATCAACCCAAACTACTCTGTTTTAAGTTATTAATTTTAATCCCAAGTCAATTCTAGAAAAAAGTTGCAAAATAAACAGAAGAAATAAATTAGCATACTAGAAAATATCTAACACAAAAGAAAGCAATAACAGAAAAATGAGAAACAAAAAATAAAGACCTAACACACATAAAACACAAATATAAAGTAGATGTAATTCTACCCATGTATAATTACATAAGTGGAATGAACAAACCATTTAAAGAATAGAGATTAGCACAACAGACTAAAAAGCACTGATCCAACCATATGCTGTCTACAACAGACACACTTCAGATTCAAAGGCAAAACAGAATGAAAGTAAAAGGATGAAAAGAGATACCATGTAAACAGGAGTCTTCAATCAAGGATCTTAAATCAGTAATCTAAACACCTACCTTAAGACCCTGGAAAAAGAAGAGCACTGTAAACCCAAAGTAAGCAGAAGGAAGGAAACAATAAGGATTAGAGTGGAAATAAACTAGGAAATAAAAACAATATAAATTTTTAAAATCAATGAGACAAAGTATTGGTTTTCTACAAAGAGAAAATTAACAAACTTTTAGCTAGACTAACCAAGGAAAAAAGAGAAAAGATACAAATAACTAAGCTCAGGAATTAAAGACAGAGCATTACTACCAATCTTACAGAAATAAAAATAAGGAAATACTATGAACTATATTTCCAATGAATTAGATCACCTGGATGAAAGAGACAAATTATTAGAAACTACCAAAATTAACTCAAGAAGAAATTTAGAAATCAGAATTCAATATAAAAACTAATTAGATTGATTTAGAAATGAAAAACTTTCTGCAAATAGAAGTCAAAACCAGATGCCTTAAAACATTTAAGGA